GACTAGAACTCACCGTCTCCTGGTGCTGGGTCCAAAGTCATCCAGATGGCTTTCATTCCTAAAATGGAACTGGAACTCACTGTCTCCCAGTTTCTAATCCAGCACCTTAAACTTTGCACTAATCTGAACCTTTTATTGTAGTTTCTCAAGTTCTCCACTTTGAACACTCGTCTTTTGTGTCTCTTGTCAACTGTAAGTTTCCCAGGCTACTTTCCTATTGCATCTGAGAAAATGAATAATTACTAGCTCAGGTTTAAAAGCCAAAATGGTTCCATTTTTGGGCTTTTTTTTTTTTTTAAAAAAAATTGCTTTTTAAAATGTAGGGTTTCTTTACAGCAGTTCATTATCCTGTTAAAAATATTTTTTTAAAAAGTTAAAAGCAGCAACCTAGAAATAAAAATGATGGAGAGAAATACACTGCTCAAAAAAATAAATAAAGGGAACACAAAAATAAGACATCCTAGATCTGAATGAATGAAATATTCTTATTAAATACTTTGTTCATTACATAGTTGAATGTGCTGACAACAAAATCACACAAAAATTATCAATGGAAATCAAATTTAGCAACCCATGGAGGTCTGGATTTGGAGTTACACTCAAAATTAAAGTGGAAAAAAAACACTACAGGCTGATCCAACTTTGATGTAATGTCCTTAAAACAAGTCAAAATGAGGCTCAGTAGTGTGTGTGGCCTCCATGTGCCTATATGACCCCCCTACAATGCCTGGGCATGCTCCTGATGAGGTGGCAGATGGTCTCCTGAGGGATCTCCTCCCACACCTGGACTAAAGCATCCCCCAACTCCTGGACAGTCTGTGGCGCAACGTGGCGTTGGTGGATGAAGCAAGACATGATGTCCCAGATGTGCTCAATTGGATTCAGGTCTGGAGAACAGGTGGGCCAGTCCATAGCATCAATGCCTTTGTCTTGCAGGAACTGCTGACACACTCCAGCCACATGAGGTCTAGCATTGTCGTGCATTAGGAGGAACCCAGGGCCAACCGCACCAGCATATGGTCTCACAAGGGGTCTGAGGATCTCATCTCGGTACCTAATGGCAGTCAGGCTACCTCTGGCGAGCACATGGAGGGCTGTGCGGCCCCCTAAAGAAATGCCACCCCACACCATTACTGACCCACTGCCAAACCGGTCATGCTGGAGGATGTTGCAGGCAGCAGAACATTCTCCACGGCGTCTCCAGACCCTGTCACGTCTGTCACATGTGCTCAGTGTGAACCTGCTTTCATCTGTGAAGAGCACAGGGCGCCAGTGGCGAATTTGCCAATCTTGGTGTTCTCTGGCAAATGCCAAATGTCCTGTAAGCACAACCCCCACCTGTGGACGTCGGGCCCTCATACCACCCTCATGGAGTCTGTTTCTGACAGTTTGAGCAGCCACATGCACATTTGTGGCCCACTGGAGGTCATTTTGCAGGGCTCTGGCAGTGTTCCTCCTGTCCCTCCTTGCACAAAGGCGGAGTTAGCGGTCCTGATGCTGGGTTGTTGCCCTCCTACGGCCTCCTCCACGTCTCCTGATGTACTGGCCTGTCTCCTGGTAGCGCCTCCATGTTCTGGACACCACGTTGACAGTCACAGAAAACCTTCTTGCCACAGCTCGCATTGATGTGCCATCCTGGATGAGCTGCACTACCTGAGCCACTTGTGTGGGTTGTAGACTCCGTCTCATGCTACCACTAGAGTGAAAGCACCGCCAGCATTCAAAAGTGACCAAACCATCAGCCAGAAAGCATAGGAACTGAGAAGTGGTCTGTGGTCACCACCTGCAGAACCACTCCTTTATTGGCGATGTCTTGCTAACTGCCTCTGCTTTCCACCTGTTGTCTATTCCATTTGCAGAACAGCATGTGAAATTGATTGTCCATCGGTGTTGCTACCTAAGTGGACAGTTTGATTTCACAGAAGTGTGATTGACTTGGAGTTACATTGTGTTGTTTAAGTGTTCCCTTTATTTTTTTTGAGCAGTGTAGTTAAATCTCAAGATGACAATTACTGTGGTTCATTGCAGACTCAGCCAGTTGAATAAAAATATAATAATAAGCAAACAAAAGAAGCAGTTTAAAGCAGTTATAAACAAACTGATTATCCCTCCTCCCTACTTAACATTACAGTGATCCTTTCAGCCCCCTGTTCAGTCTTTATTTTCCAATGGTCAAATCTTGAAATCACCATTTACACTTTTCCCCCCCCCCCCCTCTTCTCCTCTTCACAATCCATTCCTTTATTATGGGCATTTTCAGCATTTGCACATTTTTGTGCGTACAAGAATCTGGTTGCAGTTCCCGCATATAAAACCAGCCTTTCACGTCTTTTCTAATCCGCTATCCATAAGTTTAAAAAAAAAACCCCACCCAGTTCTGGTTTCATCTCAGTCTTCAAAATCTTTTGAGTCACTATCAGCTGTTCAGTTCTTGACTGTTAGAATAACCACTTCTGTCTCTTTCAGTTTGCTTCAAGGTTTTCGACGTTGATCGAGACGGGGTTTTGTCTAAGGTTGAACTCGAAGAAATGGTTGTGGCTCTTCTGGAAGTTTGGAAAGATAATCGTATTGATAACATTCCAGTAAGTTGCATTCAACATTAATATTAACTAAACAAGGACTGCCTATTTTGGCAGTGGTTTTGTTCTCCAAGCTTCTTTCAACTTACTTTCTGAACGTTTCGTTACCACACTAGGTAATGTCATCAGCAGGATTGTGTCGTCCAATTCCTCTTTAGCTTATAAATGTCTCGTGTGCCCATGTGGTTGGGTGGTTGGTTGTTCGTTTGGAGCTATATTTAAATTCCGAGCAGCTGATTGATTCTCTTGTGGATTGGACATTGTAATGGTCTGGTTTTGTTTGTTTATTTGTGTATTTTATTTGTTTAGAAATTTATATCACTGTCTACTCACACATGGCGACTCAAGGTGGCTTACACGGATATCAAAACAGCATATAAAAGAAAATTTAAAAATAAGAAGAAAAATAATAAAATAATAACCTCTCACCCTGGTGACAGCACACCCTCACACTAACCATTTAATGGGCTCCATCCCGCTCTGGGTTCCCCAGGCCCGCTTGGCAGAACCACGTCTTCAGGGCCTTCTGAAAGAGTATTAGAGTGGGGGCCAGTCTAACCTCCAGGGGGATGATGTTCCAGAGAGAGGGAGCCACCACGAAGAAGGCCCTTCTTCTGAGTCCCACCAGTTGGGATAGGGCAGGCGAAGATCCTCAAAGCTGTAGTCTATGGTAGCCAAAAATCAGGAGGCACTTGCCTGCTGAGTCTGAAATTGAAAATAAAGTAGACTTGTCTTCTGCTTAACCATCTGGCTAGTTTGAGTGTTTCATACTAATCCCTCAGTGCCTTAACTTGCACAGAGTGTTTTAAAATATATTGCTTGTCTATCAATCTGCCTACCTATGAATCCACCTGTCTGTCAGTCTGTGTCTGTCTATCAATCACTATCTGTCTTTATTGTCTGTCTAGCTATCTAACTATCTAGTTATCTATGCATCTATCTATAGCTATCTTCATCGTCGTCATCTATCATTTATCGATCTATCAATCTAATAATCTATTAGATTTATATGTCGCCTCTCTCACTCTAGAAATGAGATTGCTACTTTTAATAATGATTGACAGGACTTTGATCAGAAACTTTCACATTCTATAAACCGATTTATCAAGAAGATTCATAAAAATCAAACAAAATAGTCTGAATCCAGATTCGATCTGTCATGGATCAGACCAGCTAAAATAAGGGGCAGGTCATTTGCTGCTCATTTAAAGCTCATTGATTTTAGCAGATCTGCACTCTGTGGATTCAACCCAGCATTCTTACTTTTGGGGTCTATGTACGTCGACCAAAATAACCCTCGAAATAAGGTTCTTAACTTTCATGGGATCTTCCTGTTCTTTTTTTCCCCCCAAGGAGCTGCACATGAATTTGCCTGATATTGTAGAAGATATTCTAAAGTCACACGACACTACCAAGGTAAGAAAGGGCACCTGCATCTCATTATCCCTTATTGTGCGACTTGAGAAATCAGTGCAGAAATAGTTTCAAGAAACTTGAAATGGCCTCTGTGTCAGGGTTCCGAAGGATGCCCTAATTAAACCATGAGCCTCGAGCCAAGTTTCAAAAGAAATCCAGTTATTTATTAGGAACAACATGTCGACACATACCCAAATGAAGTCAGCTCTGCCTGAGGTAATTTACGGCCCACCTATGATCCTGTTTCCCCCCCCCCCTCCCTCCCCCAGAGTGTGTCATAAATCACATTCTCCAACGGAGCACTTTGTGGGCTGTAGAAATCATGCCTCTCCGGTTGGTCCCGGTAGCCTGGGATACAGTCTTGAAGAAGGTATGTGTGGGATGTGCTTCTGGTTGTGGCTCCTGCTCTGTCAGTCCCTACCCCCACCCCATAGTAACTCGAGAGTAGGCCAGGAACGCTTTACGAGTTGATACTCTGAATTGGAGCACAGTGAGGCTGAGCCAAGCTGCTGAGTTAACTCGTGGAAAGTCTGTTTACTGTGAAAGAAGCCAAAGAGGATAAAAAGCATCAAAGGAGATAATTTATTTACTTACATGTATTCATCATTACTTACCATATATGGTGGCAGAAATCCACTGAGCTAACAGATGCAATTACGCTCGCTGTTTTCACAGATAGTAAAATTATAGAAAAATTATTGTTAAATATGTTTTAAAAATTGGTCTATCCCATCTGCTGGGCTTTCGCTGTTCCACTAACATTCTCCTAAGCTCCTGAATATGAGAAAGGTTAGGAGCAATGATGGCACAGTGGTTAGAATTCCACATTGCAGGCTAATTCAGCTCACTGCCAGCAGTTCGATCCTGATCGGTTCAAGCTTGACTCTGCCTCCACTCTTTCCGAGGTGGGTCAAATGAGGACCCAGATTGTTGAGGGCAATATGCTGACTGCTTAGAGAGGGTTGAAAAACACTGTGAAGTGCTGTTGCTTGAGAAGGAAGGAAAGGAAAGGAAAGGAAAGGAAAGGAAAGGAAAGGAAAGGAAAGGAAAGGAAGGAAGGAAGGAAGGAAGGAAGGAAGGAAGGAAGGAAGGAAGGAAAAGGAAGCAAACAAGCCCTGGTGGCACAGTAGTTAGAATGCAGAACCGCAGGGCTTACTCACTGCTCACTCCAGGAGCTTGATCCTGACTGGCTCAAGGTTGACTCAGCCTTCCATCTTTCTGAGGTCGGTAAAATGAGGACCCAGATTGTTGGGGGCAACAGGCTGACTCTGTAAAAATGCTTAGAGAGGGTTGCAAAGCACTGTGAAACGGTATATAATTTTAAGCGCTATTGCTATTGCTGATGGAGATCTATTTGAGATATTAAAGTATCAAAATATCCCCCCCCCCGCTTTTTATTCTACTATTTTTCACAGTTTCAGATGATAGTCAACCAGTTACCTTTGTTCTGGCTATTATGTACCTCTAGAAAACTACCCCAAAATTTCAGCGGGAATAGTTCCCCTGAAACTCATCATCCATAAAATCTAGTCTTGATCATAGTTCAGTGGAACTTATCTCCAGTGTGATGGCCAATCTACATAAAACCTTTTTGACTGGAATTGGGTCAACTTGATTGACAGACAATAGATTTGTATATTTGCAATATTTGTTAAGAGACAATAGATTTGTATATTTGCAATATTTGTTAAGAGAATGTGATGTGAATAATTTAGCAAACACAGGATGGAAATGTATAACTATTTGTAGACCTGCAATGCAAGGAGGAGAAACCAATTAGGTTTGTTTGAGATACAGGTGTCAGCATTCAATCAGGATGGAGGTTATGTGTTTAATATTAATTTTATATCTGTGATATACCCTTTTTTTCTTCTCCTTTTTGTGTCTTCTTTGTAATTTTTTTTTAATTTGCATTTTGTATTTTATCTTCAGGAAAAAAATAAAAAACGTTATTATTAAAAAAAATCTTGTTTAACTGACATGGCTTCCAGCTAGAAAAACCTAGATGGATAGTTTCCCTGAGAAAAATCAAAATTATTGAGAGTAGTTGCAGATCTGTGATTCTCCAGGGAAATCATGACTATTAATTGATCAAAACCAGCTTCAGATCTACAGATAGAGCAGATTGATTTTTGGTCAAAGCTTTTCTTTATTTTCCTTAAAATGTCCATTTCAGTTTGCATGAGAGAGATAGTATGAGTGGTGGGGGGGGATGACAGAGGAAGAGGGAGAGAGAAGGGGAAGAGAGAGAGGAGAGTGGAAGAGAGGTGGGAAGAGAGGGAGAGGAGGGGGGAAAGAGAAGAGAGGGAGAGAGGGGGAAAGGGAGAGGGGGAAGAGAAGTGGGAAGAGGAAGAGGGAGAGGAGGAGGGGGAAGAGAAGTTGGAAG